GCTGGGAAACTGTTCCAAAATTTAAAGAAAATATAAAATTAAAATTACAAGAACTGAGAATACAAAGGCCTGGGGCTCAATCTCCAGTGCCACTAAAATTAATTAATAATTATTTCAGTGGGAGTCAATGAGTAGTAAAGTCAGTATTTGTTTGAAATTATCTCTACTTTGCTTTTATTATCATATGGTTGTTTATTCCAGATCAAGGGTTTTTTAACCATTAGGAGTTTTTAGCCTTCGAAAGTTTGTTGGGAACAACCCATTTAACAGTATCTACTTTGCAAAATAAAGAAAGCCTCCGCAACTCTAACCATCTTCTTTGTTGACTGAGTTCTGACCACACTAATGCTTTTTTATGGAACCCAGAAATGAGGACTATACTCATGTCTAGCTTTATCTAGTCATAAAACTCAGGAATATTCTTGAACCTGATCATATCTTATAGCAAAACCCAGACTATTAGGCTTACCCTCTTATGACTAAAAGTACCATGAGTTACATGAAAATTTTAACCTTTCTATTTTAATTTAATCCTACACACATACAATTGGAAACTCAATGTTCAGGATACCAAGACTAACTTATTTTTGTAAAGTAGATCATTTTCTCTCTACTAGCAAGTTTGGATAAAGGCAGATGACCAATTAGATTACTAATCTCTCACACTGCTATAATTCATCAACTCTTGCTGATTTCTAAAAGACCAATATTTGTGTTTACACAAATGTTATAAAGAATATTTGGTGATAGTTTAATTGATATGTAGCCAAGATACACGTAAAATTGTTTTTAACTTATTTTTTCAGAATACTATTAGTTTAGTATTCAAAAAGGACATTTCTTGAGAAATTAAATAACAGTCCACTGTCCAAAAGGAAAATAAGCCAAGGAGGTCCATGCACACAGAGCCACATGCTTTTGAAATGTGCACAATTAGACCAAGTTTCCTCAAGAAACAGGCAGACATTATTTACTTTTTGCAGAGGATACATTCAAACAATGCATAAAACAGTCATATTTTTTAAAAATTTTAAAATATTAACTAATTCTCTGTTAATTTGAATTTCCCTTATTTAATCTGAAATCTATACATAATACTTGACATAAACTTGGCCTCTTATTTGTTCCCTTGAAATCTGCATTAGCTCAATGTAGAAGATTGTAAGTTATTTGGCAGTAAAGATAATAGTTTATGTGGTTGTTATTCTTTCCTCATTGACAGACTTGAGTTCTCCAAATGCTACGCTTCTTTAACCACCAGCCCTTTGCACATGATGCTCCATCTGTGAGAAATTTCAGCCTCTCACCCTCCAGGAAACAGATTTTTAAAGGACTATTTATTTCAATAAACTTGACACCTTTGATGAAATGAATGCATTCCTTGACAGTCACATCTTACCAAAACTCACACAAGAATAGAGAAAACATGAATACTTTTATATTTGTTTTAAAAACTGAATCAGTAGATAAAAACTTTTTTTAATATTCCAGTATACATGGTTTTGTCTTTGAGCTTCATAAAATACATAGATAAAATAGCACCAGTTGTGACAAAATCTTCTAAAGAACAGAAAAATAGTAGGTTAACCTTTTACCAAAATCTATAAGCACATCATGAGATGAAAAAAAGTTATAACTAAACCCACTTAATAGATGCAAAATCCTAAAGAAATTATTTGCAAACTGCAGCCAGTAGCATATAGGGAAAATATTATGACAAGTGTGAGTTTATCCCAGACATGTCAACTTTATGGGCTTGAGAGCCACCTAGGAGATGAGTATGTCTGGGTGAATCATGGAAGCAAGGCTTTGGATAGTATACAAGGTCCCTCTCTTCTTCCTCTCTAGTGCTGTTCACCAGAGCTTTAATTCCCAGCCATAAACATGGTTAATACATGCATGAAGAATTAGCTCATCATATCTTTCCACCATGCCTTGCCACCATGTTCCTGTCTTAAAATCAGCCTACCACAAACTGCACCCTCTGAAACTGTGAATCAAGTTAGATCTCTCTTTTAAACTGTGAGTGTTGAGCATTTATCCTAGCAATGAGGAAGCTGATACACTAGGAATCCAAAGTAGATGTTTTACAAAATCAAGCAATATTAATGAATGAAAGGTGACATTGTATAGAATGATACTTCCAATGCAGAAAAACAAGGTAAAATTTAATACTCGTGCATGTCAAAAAAATTTTTTTTAAACTTTTAATAGAATAAAAGTAGAAAAAGGGCCTTGGTAACCATTAAAGAAAATCCCTAGCCGATGTCACACTTCCTGGCAAAACACTGAATGTTTTCCTTGGGAATCAGGAATAAGTTTCAGATGCATGTTATGATAATTTCTATCAACATTTTAGTGGAATTTTAGCAAGTACAAGAAAAATAAACCAAATGAATAAAGAATGTTATAAAAGCAACAAAATTTCCATTATTCACAGATGGTATTATGTCTGATTTTAACAGCCATGTTTCTGAGTCAGTTTGAACTTAAATTTCTCTTACTTATATTTGTCAAGTCTGATTTAAAGTTTATGCTAATTTCATAGATTTTTTCCAATACTCTGGAATATTTCATGTATGTATTAACCATGCCTCTTATTTCCTGTATTTAGATGCTATCCAAGGCCCCTCACAGCCTGAACCAATTCTAATGATAGCCAACAATTCACCGAGGAGCACCCTTTAGAATACAATCCAATGAATCTAGGGCCTACACTCTAACCACCTCTTTTGCTGTGTCTAGACTCCAGGCTACCATCCACCTACTCTGAGGGCAAGAACCAAGCCACCAGGACAGTTTCTATGCCCCAGAGTCTCTAACATTGTTCCCACAAGGCAGTCCTAACCCTCCTGGTCCACTTTCCCCATTCCCTCCTTGCAGAGACCACAATAAAGATTTTTATCACAGTTCTGCAGCCTGCTAGAACTGACCCCATGTTCCTACGTGTGACCCCGTAGTGTGGCACACCCCGTTCTCTTGGTATTTGTAGCAAACCATCTCTTCAAATATAGTTGTCTCTTGACTTGTTGACCTCACCAGAACTAAACCATTAGCTGTATTTTAAGTCAGCGTAAGACTAAATTATTTACTTTGTCTGAAAGTTCCACAAGGAATCAGAATGTCTTTTTTCAGAGAACATTTTTAACATTATCTTTTTTCATATTTTTAAAATTCATCAGAAATTTATTCTTGAGACAATAATAAATAAGTAATGTTTTCTAGCAATATGTCACTTAACCACCTTCCTCAAGCTTTGCAGTAGGCCCTCGTCTCACCTTGCTTTATTTTTTCTGCTTTTTAGAATTCAGCCACACTGAATGCTTTCCTCTAAACTCCTTAGGCCCTCTTGTTCTGTTTCTCTGGCTGACAGGGAATATTCTTTGTCTTCATCTCAGGCAAGGCCTCTTGGTACTCAGAAGTGGACCTCTGCCCGAAGCCTCCTTTCTGTACTTTATCACTATCTTTTCATTTCATCCTGGTTTTTTCCACGGTACTTACTGCAATTACAAATTCTTTTGTTTCTTGCTGGCATTTTTGCTTTTTTAATTTTCTTTGCTTTTGTTGAAAGTGTGTCTGAGAATAGAGGTTTGAACAATGTCAAAATTCTTTTGTTTCTTGCTGGCGTTTTTGCCTTATTTTTAGTTTTCTTTGCTTTTGTTTATTTGTTTGTTTTTGTTTTTTCTGTGCGTGGAGAGGGGGTTGAACTCAAGACCTTGTGTGTGCTACCACTGAGCTGCATTCCCAGCCTGCTTTACTTTATTATATGTTTCCCTAAGAGCCAGAAATTCAGTCTGATTTATCACTGCTTTAATTTGGAACAGTGCATAGTAGGTGCTCTCTATAATTGATGATAATCAATAAGCCAGCAAAAGAGTATACTCAAGAAGGACCACAGTGCTGAGTTGGAAAAAATACTGTGACTAAATAGTGAAGAGATCATGTTCTGTAGACCATGCTGTTAGGGGATGGCAAGGGACAAGTAAAAAGCTCTGTCGACCAGGTGGGAGAGTGAGACAGACAGGAGCACTACACTTCCATCACCACTTAGTATCCACACCTCTGAATGAAGACTTCCTGGGCTGAAGGCCTGGAAGGCACTTGCTATTATCAATATTTACTCACCAGTAGTATGGGATTCAAATGTCCAACCAGGATTATTCTAATAAGCAATTATTTTGAACCCTAGGGAGATCTTGAATGGATTTCTATTCTTCTTTAAAAGGAAAACAGACATCATAGAAAATGAAATATTTAAGATAAATATCACCACACATTAATTCGGGCATTATATGAATTCTGACATCACAAGTGAAAACAATTTCAATTCCACTTAAAAGATGTCAGACTCAGGCAATTTTACAACAGGAAATGGAAAAAGGTTAAGGTTTTAACTTGATTCAGGTGTCATTTGATATATATACATAGGAAATTAGGTCACTGAAAATAATTTTTTTCAATCAAGAAATTTATAGCCTGGTATAAAATGATGTTCCAATTCATTTTAGCTAGTGTTTCTCCTCACTGGTATTTTGTAACATTGTGTTACACAGACTACTTAAAAGCTACAAACAATACATAGTTTGAAAAAAGACTTCTACACTTATTATTCTTACTAATTCTTTAATAGCAGTGAATTTAAACTACTAAACACAGTCATTCAAGAAAGAAAACTGAAGACTACCATTTGTCCAAATGCAGGTGACTATAATCATGCAGGAAAGATTTACCAGCATCAAAGTCACACAATTTATGGAACAAATGGGGTCAAGGGAAGCAAGACCAAAGAAGTATGGATGAATCTGTTTTTGTTCTGTGTGCATGTGTGTATATGCGTGCATATATGCTGGGGATGGAATTCAGGGCACTACGTATGCTAAGCAAGTGCTCTACCACTGAACTATACTCCCAATTTTGTTTTTTATTGCTTTATAAATATCTATGTAACTAGTATTCCAGACGCAACTTGAGTATCACTTTGCATGTGAACACTTGCCTTTTCCTCTTCAATTGGATTCATCATCCTCTCCTCAGTTTTCTGAAGAGTAAACCTCTATTCTCAGACACACTCCATTAGGTAATGGATCAGCCTCCCTCCTCAAGTGCCAGCTCCTTAAAAAGAGAAATCCTCTTTTAATCAACTTCAAATCCTTAGTCCCAGAACAATGTCAAGCATTCAAGAAATATTTGCTTAATAAACAAAGTAAATAAGTACTTAATTGATGCCCTCTTATCCAACAAGTGCAGCTCACTCAAGTTAACCTTACCTTTGGTTTGTAAGGTCTAGTGGATACAGAGGCCTCATTTCTGTATGCGTTCCCTCACCCTATTTTGCTGGGAGAAAACAACTTGCCTGAAGTTTTCTGGCACAAGATGCATATACACAGCGGACATCTCCAATCCAAAAATCTGAAATCCAAAATGCTCCAAAATCTAAAACTGTTTTGCTACCTGCATGATGCCAATGTGTGGAAAATCCCAGACCTGACCTTAAGTGATGAGTCACAGTCAAAAAGAGCACCCTAAAAATGTATGAAATTAACTTCAGGTCATATTTGTACAGTATATATGAAGTATAAATAAATATGTATATATAAATACTCCAACATACCTAAAACAAAATTTGAAACACTTCTGGTCCTATGCAGGCATTTTGGATTTGTACACCAAGTTAGCATGCATAGTCATAATAATAATAATAATAATAAGAAGAAGAAGAAGAAGAAGAAGAAGAGAATACTGTCATACAATGTAATAGTAATTTCTATAGTCATATTCAAAATTAAAATCCATGAAATTTAACCTGCTCTACAAATAAAAGCCCTAATTTAAGAAATGTTTAAAAATACGCTTGCAATCTTTTTTAAAGAAAGTTTAAAGTATGAAACATGCAAGTTGCTATACTAATTTCCTTATAAAATATATCCAGTAAAGAGCTGCTTCTAGACATAATTTATACATTTAATATGCCCAGCTATAAATCACAGCCACTCACCATGGGGTTTTCTATTGAAATTGTCCCACTCTTCATTAATTTTACTGCCTAGAAATTCAGTTGAATATTAAGCAGTTAATTTTTCAAGTAGTAGCGTAAGTTTCCTTTTTATCCCCTCTTCGTGAAAGATGGTGATGGGAGTGAGTGTTTTCCACATTTCTGTAGAGACAAAACAGTCTTTCTGAACTAGATTGCAAACAAAATACTTCTATTTGATACAGAAGTGACTTTTCTTATTTCAAGGGAATTATAAAATATGTATCTTTAAATGAGAAAACCTCGCCACATTAGAGATATGAATGTCATGTCCTTCCAATTGTGAGAAATAATTGTGATTCATGAGATTATGTTCCATTTTCCCCACTAGAGCGCTCATTCTGTCACACACTGGGTGTTGATCCTTGGCTTGGATAATATGGAACCTGTAATGATCACACTGTGTCACCCCAAAATGACACAGAGTAAGTGTGCTGTAATATGATCTGCACCATGGGAATGCGTCCTGTTCTCCAATCTGTCTTTATAAGTAAGTTGCAGTCTCCTTTAACTCTTTACAAAAACAACCAGCTTTATGTTTTCCACCGACAGTATTAAAAATGACTGAATTCATTCAAATATAAAATAGATCCTAATTCTGATAACTGGCAAGTACCTTTCAAACACTGTCTGCTAGATATTAATTTCCTGTTTATAGCACCATTTTTTTCTAAATTGCTCTTCCCAACCACGTGAAGGGTTCTAAAAAATATATTTTATGTAAAAAGAGTACAGAAATGTGGCATATAAAAAAAAAGTAAATGTTTGTATGCTGCTTGCAATTAATTAAAAGTATAGCATTTCCACCCAATTAAATGAGAAAAATGATTATATATCAGTTATATTGAAATAATTAAAAGGTCATCAATTTCCTGTCATGAAATGTGATATTGTTTAATTACATTCCATGAACGTATTGACCAGGCCATTGGACAGACCACTCTGCTGAGAAATTATCATCTTAACAACGAACTGATATCCATTGAGTGGGTTGTAAGTCTGTATCAGAGATTTTTGTAAATAGGATTCAAAAGGATGATAGATACTGAAAGACAAAGTTGGCTAGGACTAAACAAAAAAAAATTTATTCATAGAAACACAAAATTTACTTACATTAAGATATAGAAAAATTCCCTGGCAAGAATGTTCATCCACATCAGATTATTGCTACTTGGCAAATAAAACTACAGAAAAAATGCAATTTAATAGACTATTTTTCAGGACAATCATTACTGTCATTTCCCCTATATGGTCTAAGTAGTGAAAAGAAGACAATCTCTAAGAATAGTGTGTAAGTACCACGTGCTAATTGATTGTGCCACTGGAGCAGCTAAGGATACTGGGTTCCGGAAAGATAACAAGATTAATTCTATTATCACCCAATCATCTGTTTATGTCACCCAGGAAAACTCTGCATAGTAAATCTCTACTGATGAGCTGGAATAACAAAATATAGTATCTTCACCCGAAAGTTTCATAGCAAGTATTACACACCCCACTGTTGAAATCAAGGTCAATTAAATTCTTAACATATGGTTTTTGGTACATGGATTAATAACTGATAAAACACTTTATTGTTGCCTCCTTCCCCATGGTAATCTGTACCTCCATCCCAGTTGCTTGAATCCTTTGCAAAAGTCATGTCGTTCCACTGGCTGAGCCTGCCACTGGCATGAACATTCCTCCTCCCTTCCCATTCCCCTAGTGAACAGTTGTGCGTCACCCAGACTCAACTCACAAATCTACACTCCCACTAAAGACCCTCTAGCACTTGACATTGGTTCCCCTAACCCCTATGTTTGCTTCTGGCCATGTTGCTGACTTGCTATATATGGAAAACAACACAACTTTCTGCCCAGCCTCTGACTGACATTCTGACCCTCAGGTGGTTTCCTATGGCTTACTATGAAGCTGGTTAATAGCAAATAACTCAGCAAGCCTTATAATTATGTGAGAGTATGTGAAAAGCCCAGCAGAGCACACAGCACACACAAGCACATAGCAAATGGTAGCCTCCTTGATGCTCCCAAGGTCCCCTCCAAGGAGCACTACTGTCAAGCAAAATACTAACATGACAGTGTATCCTGCCCAGATCAGCACGCTCCCTAGCTGCTCTCATAACCTTATTATTGGTTTCTATATGTATCAGCCAGCTTTCCCTTACTGTACCAAAATACTTCAGGCAATAAAGTTAAAAAAGAGGAAGGATTTATTCTGGTTATCATTTTAGGCCATACTCTGTTGGCCATATTGCTTGTGAGCCTATGATGAGGTAGTATATCACAAGAGTGAAGGAGGAGGAACCTATTCACCTTATGGGTGAAAAAAAGACAAAGGAAGAGACTGGCTTCCCATAAGGGCACACCCCCAGTGACCTACAAGCTCTTTCTAGGCCCCACTTCCTAAAAGCTCCACTACCTGCCAATAGCACCACAGCTTGGGTTCCTGCCTTCAACATATGGATCTTCAAGGACATACCAGAGCAAAAGGAGAGCACTGCACCTGTGTGTATGTGGGTTTTTATTTTTTTATTTTTAGTGTCACATCCTCTACCTTGTCTATCTGATGCCCAACAGATTCCCAGAGGAGAATAAAGTGTGGACATCTATGAAGGCCTGCAGATACATAATTAAATGGAAATAGGATTATCCATGAATAACTATAACATGAGGCAGCAAATAATGCTGCTCTAAGTAGCTATGATTGCAGCTCTGTAGAATAAGACAAGGAGAAAGTTCCCTCCACGAAGAAGGGCTAGGAAGCTCTATGAGCTGCAGGATTTGGTGTGACCTTGAGACAGGGAAGACTTTGAAAAGAGTAAAATACGACAATAAAACAAAAAAATCATCCATCAATACGCACTGATCTGACGACACACCTACTCCAAAACAAAACAAACAAGAACGCTTTTTTGAAAATGAATAAATTGCAAGAACTTCAGACCTACCAGCTAGTAAACAATGGAATAAACTGAAGGTTAAGTAAAAAACAACAAAAAAAAAATTGAAATTCTGAAATAAGATTAAACAGTTAAAATCAACAGAATAATATAATCAAAACAGTAGGCTAGTTTTTAAATTTTAAAAAATATGTACAAAGTAAGATAAAAGAGGTGTTTTATTTCTTAAGAAACATTTTAAATGAATTAGAACAGGGTAAGTTTTGAGGCAGCTTTGCGGCAGTTGATTATTCAGTTAAAAATTCTTTCTCTCTTCCTCTTTCTTTCTTTCTTTCTTTCGATTCTCATGAAACGATTCTTTCGAATCATTCACCAAATTAGATTATAGGAAAAATAAAAATTAAATATAAAATATAATGTAGGAAATAAATAGAAGAAAATAAAATAAATATCCATCATTCTTGGAGAATTTACTAAACTTAGAACACAAGCATTAGCGTATTTAAGTTAAAATGTTAAGCTCCTGTCCATCCAAAATAAATACAAAGAAAAAGAAGGTGAAGAGTAATAGGAAATACAATATAGATAATGTATTGATATCTTTATGAAAAGTTTAGTCAAACTGAATGTTAAAATACTAAATTCCTAGTAGAGTAATGATGCAAATAGACTATTTCCAAAAATGAAATATAATTAATCAAAAACTCTGTAGAAAATGTTTTCCTTTACTAGTAACCAAAGAATAGCAGAGAAAGATAACAATGAAGAACTATTTGATCCCTATTAAATTAACAAAGTTTTTTTAAAATAATGACCTCCCCTGTTAATGAGGAAACTATGAAAGAGTGGTCTTCAGTATTGCTAGAATTTTTGTCTTAATTTTTTTGGAAAGCAATGTGGCAAAGAGTCTCATGATTCTTAATCCCTCTGATGCAATAATTCCACTTTTGAGAAAATAATTCTGGATATTGAGGAGCATTATTTACAATAAGCAAAAAGAAAATCAGAAATAATCTGAACAAAAGCATAAAAAGTACATATATTGGCTTCATTATGTATGATGTAACTTTTAAAAATTGCATTCATAAAGAATATGCAAGTATGGAAATATAACATTAAATGTAAAAAGTATTAATACATATATGATATCTAGAATTAGATTGAAAAAGTAAAGTAAATATTAGAATAAAATATCAACTGCGTCTACCTGGATAGTGGAAACGGATAATATATATATATATCAAGTATGTGTAAAAAAAAACTTTTTAAAACTCAAAAACCCTCTCACTATAAACTATGTTTTTGTCATTGCCAAACTCTTATAGTATGTGACATAAAGCTTTATTAAAAAGTAAAACTTTTAATTAAATTTTGTCTCTCTAAAGTTACCAGGAAATATTGTTTTTTTTCTTTTAATTGTATACATAAAAACTGGCTTTTGTTTTTAATTTTTACTGTTGTTATGTAAAAAAACAAAAATTACAGGGTGTAATTTTTCTCAAAGGACAATACAAACTACTTTCCTTCTGAGGCAATAGTACTCTGGTATAACATTTTAAAACCCCACTGATCATTCCACAATGATCATAGCATATATCTACAGGCCTAACTTCCCCCATAAATTTTAAAATTCAAATAACAAATGATTTTTTCTGTGTTTTTTACTTTTTTGTTTTGTTTTGTTTTTTTAATCAATACTGGTGATCGAACTCACAACCACGCACTTACAAGGCAGGCATTTATGTCACTGAGTTAAAGCATCAGGCCCTATTTTGTGTTTTTAAAAGAATTTAAATATTATGTATGGCTCTAATCTCATTAGCAATTAATCTTTAAACTCTTTGCCCATTGGAGATGACATATATAAATCATTTTGACATTATTTTTAAAGAATTTTAAGAAATCATCTGTCAAATCATCTTAAATTCATCAAAAGATCTTCCACTGTTAAATTTGGCAAAAACAGAGCTTGCAGTGAAAGACAGGGTTAAAGAAAACAGATTCCAGGTTCTAATCCCTGAGCCAGAAATCAACAGACCAGGGGATAGCACAGGCATGTCCTGGGTCCAGAGAGCCACATGGGGCAGAGCTGTCCAGATCTGGCTTGGAAACCAAGGCTGGGATGCAGCTGGAGAAGGGCTTGCATGCAGAGGCTTTCAGGAAAAGTAATTTACATCTCCTCTTAGTCCTGTACCTTCCTGTGTTGGCGCTCTCTCTTCCACTG